GCTGCTGGCACGGGCGTAGGAGGCCCCGGGACTCTCGGACCTCTCACTCAGCACTTCGCACTGCAGCGACACAGCGAGTCGTTCTCACGCAAACGCCGTGTTTCTGACTCGTCGCGTGTTTTCATGCGAGCAGCGTTTAACTGAAAGTTCTTCAAATGAAGGAGAAATCAAAGAATGCTGCGAAAAAGCGCAGAGAGAAAGAGAACGGAGAGTTTTATGAGCTGGCCAAGCTGCTGCCTCTGCCGGCGGCCATCACCTCCCAGCTGGACAAGGCCTCCATCATCCGGCTGACGAGCAGCTACCTCCGGATGCGCAGCATTCTCCCCGACGGTAGGCACCCGACACGCTTTCATCTCGATTCAGACCAGAGTTTTCTTCCAATAATAATAACAATAATTATTAATGACTGTTTTGTTAGTTAGATGGACACAGTAGATTGGACGTTTAAACACTGATGTCTGCTTCAAACGCCTCATTTATCACGATGAATTATTTCATTAGTGCCCGTGGGCAAAAACTCTGTCAACACTCAGAAAGTCTGCTTCAGTCACTGACCGGCCCGTTGGTCGCGTGGATTCTTACCGAGTTTGAAGTCTAATCCAGCTGTAATCCACGAATGACAACAAAGTTTCATATACAGATGCACGAGACGTGGATTTCCAAAGGCGTCATAGACGAAAGACAGAGTCCTGCTCAGGGACGCCGCTCAGCACAAATGTGTTCTCATGCTGGAAGTCCAACGATCTTTGACATAATAATAACAACAACAACAACAATAATAATAATAATAATAATGAAGCGCTTCATAACCTCGCTCCTCCATATTTATCTGATCGTCTCCATACGGAGAGCTTGATTTGGTTTAATAATATTACATAAAAATAGAATGTAATAATAACAACAACAACAACAACAACAACAATAATAATAATAATAATAATAATAATAATAATACATTTGATTTCTAGGCGTCACCTTACGTTAGTACAACAAAATAAAAACAAAAGGTAAATGAAAAACAAAAAAA